TGTGGGGATTGTCTTTCTCCAAAGCCCGGGGGGGGGACCCCTGCCATACCTGCATCCTTTCCGCAAGGATGGTCACCAGCAGCTCCTCAGGAAGCACACAGGCCCTGGCAGGTGTGTCTCCCGCTTTGGTGGCATCGATGGTCACACATTGCTGCAGAGGGAGGCAGGGCACGGGGCTGGCTGAGGCCTGCAGCGCTCATTGGCCATGAGAAAAATAAAATCCTTGCAGAGCACCAACCACCCCAACTGCTGGGTCTTCTGCCCACAGAGCTGGTGTCTCTCACCAGCAAGAGACCCTCTAGAGAGAAAACCACCAGGCAGCAGCTCCAGGCGACAACACAGAATCCCAGAACGGCTGAGGTTGGCAGGGACCTCTAGAGATGATCTAGCTCCAGCAGGGACACCCAGAGCACAGGGCGCAGGGTGGCACCCTGGCAGTTTTGAAGATCCCCAGAGGAGCCTCCACAGCCTCTCTGGGCAGCCTGTGCCAGGGCTCTGGCACCCTCACAGTAAAGAAGTTCTTCCTCACATAGAGGTACAACTGCCTGGGTTTCAACTTGCACGCATTACTCCTTGTCCTGTCACCGGCCACCACTGAGAAGAGTTTGGCCCCATCCTCCCTACATTCTCCCCTCGGGTATTAAACATATCGATCAGATCCCTCTCAGTCTTCTCTTCTCCAGGCTAAACAGCCCCCACTCGCTTAGTCTTTCCTCATAAGACAGATGCTCCAGTCTTTAATCATCTTTGTGGCTCTAGAACAACCCCGGAGGGCACATCCCTGGGTGGGCCTGGTCAGAGGACACTTCTCAAGAGCCCCTTCCCTCCTCAGCGCAGCTCAAGCTCAAGGGAAACATCCCCCCGGCTGCAGCAGCGTGGTCCCCTTGCTGCCCACAAACCAACCTGATCCGCCGGGGGCTGTTTCGGGGGCTGCGGCGGGGGGCCCTCCGCCTTGGTCCTTGCCCCTGCCGGGCTGCCCAGGCAGAGCTGCAGGGAGGCCTGGCCCTCGGACCCGCCAAGGACACGGGCCTGGCGGGCCCTGGAAAGGCCTGGGCCTGCGGGGTGCAGAGCACCAGCCCCTCTAAGGGGCAGCGTTTCTGCCCGACAGACCCGAGAAGCAGGCTGGCTTCGGCCTCGAGTAAACGCAAAACGCCCTGAGAAATATAGAGGGGTGCTTCATTGCTCTTGGGAAGAGAAACACGTGCCAAGCGCTGCACGAAACTAGGGGCACAAGAAGGTGCCCCCTATGAGCCCCTAAATTAAGAGGGATCCTTAATTTCCAGAGCCGATTTACAGAACGGTTTTGCTTTTCTGCAAAAAAAAAAATGGGAGCTGCAAAAGCCCCTTTTCCTCATGGGAAGGAAACGGGTGAGCAGGGTAGGTATTGGCACTTTGCTTACCAGCATCCTCTGCCTCCTTGTTGGCCTGGTCTGCAGCAGCACTGACATACAGCTCCCAGGCCTGCTGCCCTGCCGCGGTGGCCTTCTCACTGGTGGCTTCTGTCACCACCGAGTCAATGGACAAGCAGGCAGCACCATAGTACTTGGACACGGCAAGCGCTGCCGACGTCTTTCCTTTAGAGAGAGGAACACTGCTTGCGGGATGCTCACACACGAGGCATGTTTCACATAGGTATGTTGGAGAGATGTTCTGAGGGGTCCCAGAACTTTCAAAGGAAGTTAGGGAGAAAGAGGGAGTTGGCTCGAAAAGTCCTCCAGAGACGGAGAGGGACCATCTCCAACTCCTCTTTGGCTACTGCCTCCTGAGTACCTCATCCCTTAGGGCTACCTCAGTCCTGCACCAGGGCCTGCCCCCAAACCAGCCAGACGTTTGCTAGCCTGTGCCAGGCAGCACTTTCTAACGGCTCAGACTTTTTAATGGACTAGCAGAGCTGGGGTCTACCTCACTTCACACTGAAAGCAGAGAGCACCAGGGTCCACCGGGACGTCCCTTGCCCTGTCCCCTTCCTCACAGCTGAGGGCTGTGGCCCACTCACCTGTGGTGGGCGCCCCGTGGATGATGACGACGATGCCCCTGCGGTTTTGGGCTGCACGGCCTTCTGGAGAGATATCGATGCCGAGGTAGCGTGCGATGGCCCTCGTGACGGGGCTGTCGTCCAGTTCTCCCACAGCCTCGCTGCTGCCATCGTGTTTTTCCTGCTGCTGCTCTACAAGGAGCCAGGTGTAAAAGTGAGCCTCCTTCATAGCAACAATTCTGACCACCCTTTCCATGCCCTCATATCCAGGAATGTATCTGGGGAGCGGAGACTCTGCCAAAACCCATGTCACATACAGGGCATCCCCCTGTCCTATCCTTAGGCTTATAAAGACCAGGATCTGCTCTAAATGCTGCCAAAGCCTCCCAAGATGCGGACTGGACCAAATCTCTTTCTACAAACCACCAAGCTGCCCTCACACGAGGTTTGTCTAGGGACTTGCTAAGTGTGTGGGGCACATGCAGAACCATGCAGAAACACTAGATGCTTCAGCACCAGGAACTCTGACTGTGCTCTTATTTTACAACCAACAGCATTTGCCAAGCGCTCTTAGGAGACCACTGAAAGGATCCCAGGATCCTACATGAATTTTGCGTGTAAGACAGCATTCCTAGGAGCAAGGCTGCAGTGAAGGCATGGAGATGACACTCCAGTCCAACACTGAGGTCCTTTTGCCACCAAGGACTTGAAACAGGTGAAAAGCTCTGGTTTATTACCTGGCTTTTGTCTTTTTTCAGCATCCTCCTCCTCCTCTTCTTCACGTTCCACTTTGAAATCCACCTTGTTGAACTTGTTTTCATCAAAAAAGTTGGAGGGAATGATGGAGGCGTGAGATGAGACAGTTTGAGCTACCCCAGCAGAACACTTTCCTCCTTGATCTGAGGGAGGACGGATGTCTTCAGAGACTTCTGAGGAGACACGTCGGGAGAGGGAAGACGATGAGGAGCATGGCCAGGCCAGGCTGCTCTGACACTGACCAGTTTGCCCTAGCACACGCAAGTGCAGAATTTCCTGAACAGAGGCACTGATGTCCCTGCTTTTAGGGGAATTGAGGTTCTGTGCTTTTGTTGCTGGGAAGGGGAGATATAAAATATGGCAGCTGGTGACATTACACCTAACCCTACAACTGGCCAAATAACTCATCCAATCCCACTCTGTGTGTCTGAGGGACCCCGGGAGGTATTCTGATCCTTCTGGGGTTATTTTCCCAGTTCATGGCAAGCAGAGATGAGCCTGGTGGCCATCGGGGCTGGTAGGATGCACACTATAAGCTACTGAGTTTCACACATGGCATTCTTCCATCAAGCCCAAGTGCCCGAGGGCAGATAGGAGCCTGCTTTGGAGATCTAAGCAGAGTTTAGCACCATTTAGGGTTGGAGAAGATTTTTTTTTTTTTTTTGCTAGTAGTATCTTTTCAGCTGGCTCCTCTGGCCACAGCAGTGCAAGGTACCACTCTTGTCTCTCCTCACCATGAAGTGAATGGCAGGAGGGTGTCTCTGCTTACGTGCCTACAGGGATGTTGAGGACAGCCAGCACCACGTGCGCCAGCGCTCCCTCAGCGGAGACGCGCCGGGCACGCACCCTCACCGTTCTCATGACCGGCTGGTTCCGCCGGCTGGGACTTGGCCTGCTCATCCTGCAGCCTCTTCTGGTCCTCATAGTACTCCAGTACCTCCGGGGGCAGCTTCTCGCCCGGGGAGCGGGGCGGCAGCAGTAAGGTGTTGTTGGAATCATAGTCCTTCAGCGTCCGCAGGATCTGCGTGTGCAGGGAGGAGAGGCCGCAGCTTTAAGATGTGCTGCTTGATCATGCAAGAGATACCCCCACAACCAACCTTCCTCCCTCCTTCCTTCCTTTCCTTCTTTCACCAACATGGACTATCCAAGCCTCTCTGCATCCCACTATGGCACTCGAATGATTCTGCAAGGCTGCCAAGCTTTATGCCAGAGCCTGTCTCCATCTCCCCGTCTCCCTGGTTTAAGCCAGGGAATGCTGGATCATTCCCTACAAAGCCGAGGGCATGGGGTGTCTCCTCACCTCCTCCTCAGCAAGGTACTGTTGGTCAAAGTCCAGTGAGTAGAACTCGACGGGGAAGTCGCACGGGTTCCTCACCACCACGCTGCCCTGCACCCCACTGCTGTAGGGCAGCAGCGGGCCCAGCGCGAGCACGGGTGGGTCGAACTCCAACCGCGGCTCCAGCCCACGGCCTGCGAGCTGCAGCTCAGGGTGCTCGTTGCTCTTGCAAATGTTAACCCTCACATGGGTGCTGTAGGTCCTCTGGGAAGACAGAAACGCAAAATGCTCCTCTGTGAAGTCCTAGGTAAGCAGTGCAATGTGGCAGCCAAGGGGAGAGTCCTCGGGAAGCTCCCAAAGAGCGTGGGGTCTGCTTCACCTCATCCCTAGAGAGGCATTGCCTAGACACAGTGCTGGCACTGCTGCATCAGGCAAACGTTAGCTGTACGACACAGGCAAATGGGCTCGCATGGGTTAGTAACAAGTATCTTCCACTCCTGGCTCCCATCAAAGCCGGACACAAAACGGTTACAGGTTACATGCAAAATGGGTACGTGACACATGTGGCACGTGCCATGACACCAGTGGACGCAGACCCCATCTCCTTCTCCCTGCACCAGGCTCTCATGACCACACTGCCCTTCCCTGAGACACCACCAGCCTCACCTCTTCGGTGGGTGTAAACCTCACGCGCAGGTTGCACCGCTGTCCCGGAGAGAGGTTTCCACACAAGGGCAGCACTTCAAAGACACAGGACTTGGCCTTTAACTCCTCCTGCAGCTTCCGACGCAGATTTGCTGGCAAATGTTTGTCCACCTGACCACACAAATCCAGGCCGTGAGACCACCTCGGTCTATGAGGACAGACCCTCGGTTCCTGCAGCACTACCGAGTGCAGTCAGGAACAGCGCCCAGAGCACACGCATTCAAACCAGCCACAGCCACTGCAACCAAGGAAAGGCAACCAAGAAGTTACGCGTTGTGTTTGCTTTACCTTCTTAACATGCTCGATCACATCGATGACCCATTTACAGGGGATCTGGCGCTGATTGTGGAGCTGGATGGTTTCTTCCTGGCACTGCCCACACTGGACAGGGGAGAACTCCAGTCTGTCCCGGGAGAGGCAGAGGGCTGGCACGGTCACGATGGCGTGAAGGTGTATGTGAAACGTGGGTCCTCCCGTTACCTGGGGGGACAACAGTGCAGTCAGCTGAGAGCCCAGGCGAGGGCCGGGACCGGGGCCAGGCTGCCGGCCACGTGGTACCTTGATGGGCAGCAGGGCTTCCACCCGCCCCAGGGGCAAGCTGGCGCTCTGCGGGTCGAAGCGCACGAGGAACCTCTCGCTCTCGCAGAACGGCAGGCTGCTCACGCGGTGCAGCTCGGTGCTGAAACCTCGAGGAGGGAAAAGCAAAGCAGCTGAGGCCCAGCAGCAACATGAGATAGCTCTCAAACTCTAAGGCCAGAGAGAGGTCCCGGTCTCCAGGGACAAGATGAACTTCATCTTTTTGGTTTTTCTCCCTTATTACCTGATACTTTACCTCCTGAAGAGGTTTTTTTTTCCCCACAATCAGAATCCAAGGCCCACAGGGGAAAAAAAAGGAAACATTTCAGTTCAGGAGCATCAACAACTCCTGCGCCCAGCATCCCAGGCCCAGTGAAAGGATGCAAAGAGCTTCCCAAAGGAGAATTTCTAGCAGAGATTCCCTGATGCAGTGATGTCACTTGGAAAATAACTTCAAAGAGGCATCATCTCTCAGCCCCAGGTGGTCACAGTTTTGTGGTACTGTAGCCTTACTTGGAGACCCATTTTGGTAGCCTACTTTGATATCACAGGGAACCTCACACGATATTTTCTCACAAAAGGACACACAAAGTGCTGTGACATTCTGAACTCTGAACCCAAGCACAGGCCTAGACAACCCATCAGACAGAAAGGAGCCCCTCAAGGCCACGTGAGGCCTCCCAGCACCGTTACCTGTGTCACGCAGGGCCCGTCCATCCGCATGGAAGGACACAGGGAAGTGGCCGGTGTTGGTGATCCTCACGGAATGTGTGTGGACACTACCAAAAATGACGTAGCCCAAGTCCAGGATGTAATCGGGCAGCTGAGCTCTGAAAGGAATGAGGAGAGCCCTGAACCACAGCCTGGCTACATTTCCAAGTGGATGGAAGATACAGATAAACTGGAATATTGCCATATTCACTGCTGAAAAACTCAGTTCTAGAGAGAAAAACCCCGAAAAGGCCTGAGCACCTGGCAATTATCCTTTGCTAAGCCACTGGGAATCTAGGCCCTAGGTTTTATCCACTAGCCACAGGACCTCAAAACAAAAGCAATTTGGCTAAAAGTCATTTCTATGCAGGAGACTTCCACTGGTCTGAGAGAGACTTGCTGAGCCTGGAAACCCAGTATTCAACACCTACAGCACCCAGAGGAAGGTCCTTCTCCAGAGCAGACCCACTTAGCAAAGCGTATGAATGAGTTTCAGAACCTTTTCTTCCATTTTGGAGCCTCCTGAAGAAGCCCTTGTCTCATCGCGAAGCAGTAACAGGAACGACCAACAGCAATCCTGCCAGCATCTCAGCACATGGCCGAGGACTTGCCAAATTCATATCTCTGATTCCCAGCTCTTTTTGCTCAGCATGGTCTGTTTCTCAGTTGGAAAAAGAAGTCACCCTTTGGTTGCCTCCTTCACAGCTGGTGAGCAGTGATGGTGCCCACACTGTCTGGCAGGGGTTGATGGTCTGCGCTGACCCCACCATAGCTCCAAGAACAGAGCTTGTCCATGAGGTGCTGAGCACCCCGAAAGGTCAAGAGTGGCAGTGTGGAGGGCGAGGACACTCAGCAGCTCCCAGTGGGTAGGCTAAAGCCCTTAAGATCAGGCCACTCCGTCAGTTCCCAGCTATTCCCAGCCAGCTCTGTAGACATCTCTGGGAGTTCCCCAAAGGCACCTGGAGGCAGAGTGCAGAGGTCCCCAAGTCCCCACTAACTTGACAAGCCGCTGGCGAGCGTGCTGGCCAACAGCAGGGTCCTCCGGGGGACAGGAAACAAGAGCTTCCTGATGCTTCAGGGCATGTTCCTCTATGAGCAGCCGCTCCACTTCCATCAGCAGCCACGTGTCATACTGCGGAATGCAAAGACAGCAGCTGGTTAGGAAGGGTCTTTCTGAGTGCCTGAACTTGCCTCTGGAAGAAGATCCCACCCCATCCTCACTGAGATTGGCCATTGCTGCGAAGGTCCGTCCCACCCTGAGCAGCTTTTCATGCCCCAAGAGACCCTGGAATAGCTAAAAAAAACGCGGGGCACTCCGCCGAGAGCACCAGGGCAAGTGCTGCAACTTCACAGTGGGGCAGATGCTCTCCGACTAATGTGAGTAACAAGAACTTGCATTTCCAAGGTATCACGCAGCTCAATGACACGAGGGAGGTTGGCACATACCAAAGAGGGCAGTTCTCACCGTGGAGCCCAAGTCCTTCTTCTCGGATGTGGCCTCCTGCAGAATGACTGCTTCCTCTCTCCGATGGCCTTCTTGCAATGCTTCTGTTGCCTCCTTGAGCAGCCTCTCATATTTTACATTTCCTGATGGGAGAAAACAAGCAAAAATACATGGGTGCAAATAGCACTGATCCCATTTACCCCAAGAAGCCCCACAGCCTTCTTGTACTCACACACTCTGCAGGAGAACTATGGAAGCTGGGTGCTTCCTTTCCTCTCTACATCCTGAGATCCACTTCCCTCCATCTTCTTCCCCATACAGATACATCTCACCCTCTTCATCCTGACACAAACCTGTCTTTGCCAAAATCCCCTCCAGCCTGTATTACAGCTTTTCCAAGTGTTTCTCCCTAGCTACAAACTTTCTAGGTCTGTTGGCAACCTCAGCGGGAGGCTCCTTGGGGCAGCAGCCATACGGGTTGAGCTTAGAGGCTCAAGAAGCCACCAGAAAGCTGAGTGTTGCTCTGACAGCCCCAGACCCTCCAGACTTGGTGAAGGTGGCTGTGCAGCTACGCTACGGCACAGGTGAACAGCGAGGAACCCACACAGGCAGCACCTACCTTGGATGTTTCTGGGCAGGTCCATGTAGATCCTGGGAAAGCTCCCCTCTCCTTTCAGGGAGATGTTTTCTGGCTCAAGGTGACCCACTTGGATCTGGAAAGTCCTGTAGAAGTCTCCAGGTACTCCAGGCAGGTAGGAGACAGTCAGCAGCTCTTCCTTGCCAGAACCAACGTAACCCTGCAGGGTGCGGGACAGGAGGAATGCGCCCACGAGCATTTGATGGCTGGGCTTGCGGTGCCTGGGTGCCGCATTGGAGCCCGTGCTGACACGTCCCTACCAGGACACCTCCTGCCAGCACGCTCGCTTGGAGCGCCGGGGCTGAGCTATCTGCAAATGCACCTGCCCAAACACGCCGGAGCGCGGCCCCCTGCTCTCCCACCTGGCCCTGCACCGTGGGAGACCCTCGTGGCCAGCCGAGCGGGAGCCCCGCGGGTGCTGGGTGCCCGCTCTTCTCTGGAGCCGTTTCTAGGGGTCCCGTGCTCTGCACGGGCACTGAACGGGCACAGAGAGCTGAGGAGGTGGGCGAGCACGGCCGGAGGACCGCGACGGCAGCATGTCCTGTAGGCGCGGGGATGAGAGCCCTGCCAGGCAGGCGCCGGAGCAGCACAGAGCTGCTCTCCGCAAGCTGGCAGCAAGAGGGCATCAGCGGCTCGCCTGGCTCATGCGGGCAGGGGCTGGGACGGGATGCGGGCGAGGATGAAGCCCTGCCCGGTCGCACACCTGGGTAAGGTGACCCCGGGAAGAGCCGGCACCCTGCGACTCCGGCGTCAGCGCAAACGGAGCTCGGCAGCCGGCCCAAGAGCTTCCGAAGCCCTCGCGCCTCCGCTGCTATCGACACCGCTCGGAGCCCAGCGCAGACGGCGCTCGCTTGACCTTCCCGCCCTTCCTGGAGGCAACGGCTTTTACAGCTGCAGAAAATCCTCCCTCCCAGGACGGACCTACGAGGCCGTCTCCTGCGGACTCACCGTGCTGGGCACGACGAGGGGCACGCCGGGCATGGGGCTGGCTGCAGGGGCCACGCTGGGGTTTAGCACCACGTACTTGAATCCCACCTTCCCGGGGTTGCGCAGGACGAGCGTCGCTTTGGAGACCTCGTTGAAGAGCTGGAGAGAGAACGGAGCAGCAGGGAGCTGAAGGCCCAGGTGTGTGGCTGGGAATCAGCATTCCATAGTGTGAGGCCAAGCAAATATTTAGAACAAGAAGCTGTTCCCAGATTGCTCCTGCTTTGGGACCAGCTCAAATCCCTGCAAAAACCCCACAGGAATCTAAGGCAGAGCAGGGCAACTGCCCCACGTGGCAGTGCCAAAACCCGACAGCTGTCCTCTTAGCTTTCCCCTTGGACTCCTTTTTAACGTCGCTTCAGTAAAGCCACACGTGCACTTCCCAGCTTCCCTGGGATGACATGTGCTACTCAACCTCTCTTCTGCCTAGCTGCCACTGCATGGCCTGGAGACACTGAAAACCACAGGACTTCCCTAACCTGGAGCAGGGAACATCCACAACTTTCCTAGCAAAGGCTTCAATCGGGACATTTCTGGGAGCCCAGGGCTGGCGAGAGGCTCCTGGCACCTCCCCAGCCAAGTGGCACTAAAGGACCCAGAGCAGGAGGCATCAGCCTTCCTACACCTTTACCAACCAGAGCTACAGCCCTGGGAAATTTCCTCCAGCTACAGCACTGGGGGAGTCCGGGATAACTCGCTCCTGGGTTTATTTTGGTCGTTATTCAAGTGTCTGCAACCCAAACAACCCATCTTTAGGCCTCAGACCGAAGGAGCAGGTCCGGGGGTGGCTGTCTCAGGAACACGTCCCTCTCGAGACGGGTGCTGGGCTCCTTTCGGCCCCAGAGCTGCTCCACCTGCTTCCTACAAAGCCAGAGGAGCCACACAACCTCCAAGGGAAGAATTCCCAAAGGATGCTTTGTGAAGGTGAAAACAGTGAGGAAAAATAAACAAGCTGCATGGACAAGCTGTCCTACCATCATCAAGGAGGCAGAGAAAGTGGCAAAACAACTGGAAAGAGAGGAGAGCAGCAGGACGGAGCGCTGCTGCTTCAGGACGAGGGTGCCACGATAACGCGCGGTACCTTCAGCCCGAAGTCGATCTCCTGTGTGTCAAACAGGTAGCGGATGAGCGAGGCCTCCCCGCTCAGCGCGATCTCGTACGTGGGGCCGCCCTCCACCTTGCAGCGCGCCGTGACGTGGGCCACGATGTCCGCGTGGCCGTAGAAGGTGACGGCCACCCGCTGGCTCTCCCCGGGCTGCAGCGCGCCGTACAGCGGCAGCACGTCGAACACCTGGGGGCAGAGAAGGAGACAGCGACACGGAGCATCAAGGCAGACGCAGAAGAAACCAACCTCTCCAGCACTGCAAAAACGTCCTATTTGCCACTGGGTTAAAAACAAGACAAATATGACCCTTCACATCAACACACCCTACGCGGCCTCTCCACAAGCAGCTGTTTCAGTGTTGCACAACGATGTGTTCGGAGGAGAACCAGCCACCGAGGGCCGTGTTATGCAGCCGGGGGGCTACATAACTGCTTAGCCTGCTGCAAACATGGAACCCGGTGAGATTCCTGCTTACCTCCTCTATTCCCAAGGAGGACAGCTCGCTCTCCTTGGCTGGTAGCAAGTCCTTGGTCTCCCCCAGGCTCCCCGTCTTCACGGCACTCTTAGCGTCGGACTCGAGCAGCTGCAAGACAAATACCACAAACCCTAGCGAGCCGACTGCTGCTCTGAGAGTGACTGCAACGCGATCGCTGCATCCTGTTTAGCCATGTTCACACGGACATGCTTGGTTTATTTGTGCACACGTGGCAACCAAGTGGGAAATAAGGAAGACTTGATGTTTCTGTCTGAAAACATTTGGCCCTACTGTTCCTCACAGCCACAGTGTAACATTTTTCCTAATGAAAAAAGCCTGCCAAGGAAAAGTGTTGACTGCCAGAATTTGTAGGTGAGCAGCTGCAACCCTTCTCCTTGAAGCTAGTTCTAACAGCAGCTTTTCCTGAACCTCTCCTGCTTTGTCACTTGTGCCTTTGTGCTTTAACACCCCAGAAACACTCTCTGTCCCAGAGGTCACGCTCCAAAGTGGTGACATTCACAGGTCAGCAGATCAGAAGGCGTTTTCAAAGCCAGGACCGTAGGAAGGGAGGGAGGTATGAGCACAGTCCTGCTGCGGGAGGGACAAGCAAGCTGGGGGAGACCACACGGGCGATGGGTGAACAAGAACATCTACCTTCACGTCCGGAGAGTCCCTTGTGCCCGTGGGCTCTTGGACAGGATGCTCTGCTGTCCCCGTGCCCTCAGCTTGTGCCTCGACGTGTGCATCCCCGGGCGGTCTGCAGGAAAGGGAGGACAAGGTGAGCCCAGGTGCTGTATTCCCACCGCACACTGCCGGTGATGGGACCTGCTCTGGAATCGTGGCTTTCAGCCCCGGCAGCATCCCAGAGTCTGCTGCCATCCCTCTGGTGCAGGGCTGTGGTGCTAACCTCACAGCACAGTCACTCTCCACAGCAGCCAGGTCCTTCGGCCAGGCTTCCTCCTCCTTCAGTGGTTGGTGCTCCCCGAGAAATTTAGGTTTGGGAGGGCTAAACCTGGAACATAAAGTGAATGTGACCACGAGACCTGCCAGGAAGGAGCCCATGGGGCCCCTCAGCAGAACCAGGCTCTTAGAAGGGGCCTGCTGGCTCCAAAACCCAGCAAGCCTGGGTCATTTTTCATCAACGCGCTGCAAACGGCATTTGATGAGGTTCAGCGCCCTGCTGCTCTGCAGGTAAATCCCTGTCTGCGACGGCAGCTTGAATTTCCCGGCTGTCACGGCAGCTACAGGACTGCCCGTCTCCGAAAGGGCAGGGATTTGGTTGCAGGGAGGTTACCGGCCATGTGCCAGCTGCCACCAGTGCGATCCCCTCCCGGGGAAGGTTGCACAGCAGCTGTTCAATACGAGTTGTTCAAGGACCAGCTTGGTAAATGAGGCACAAACCTGTTCAGTAGCCACTGAGTTTACAGGTGGACCAAAGACCTCTGATGAAAAGTATATGCCTTCCCATTTTCATGTGTTTCTAGATGATTCTGGAACCTAATCCCCCAGTTTGGAATTGCACTGTTAGACTTGTAACTCTCTTTGTATTTCTAATAGCACAAGGATGGGCTTAAAGGGATGCACTCAATCCAACTGCAAGCTCCTGCCGTAGGCCAATGAGGGAGATTTTTAAAAGAACCACTGTGCTCACTTCCCAGATGGGAACAAGCTGCCTTAACACCACGCTCCTGGCTCTAAACTTGCCTTTAGTTTTGTGGCTCGCTCGCTAAGCCTGGGTTTTGTCTCCAGCTGAGCACCCGTGCGTGCAGTTCGGGTGCACACAAGCCGGGCTGGCTCCGTGCGCCACTGCACGCGACCCGGCAGCAGCCTGGACACCAGCACTTTGTCCCTGCAGCAGGGCAGCCCTGCGGTGGCCGTCCCCAGCCCTCAGCTGCGAGGCGGCCCAGCGAGGAGATGAAGCTGAGGCTCCTCTTGAGCCACCTCTGACGACCACTGCGGGTTAATAACCGCTCCTGAGGAGAGGCGAAGCCACGAGAGGAAAAATCCATTATCACTTATTAAATAACCTTCAGTTTCACAGAATGGTTTGAGGCAACGCGGGGCTACAGCGCTCAGACAATAACAATATTTTTCATTGCAAAGGAGAAGTCCATTGGGAGCTGGTGCGGGAAGATGATGGGATGAAAGCAAAAAGCACACACGGTGCCTTTTACTGGGGCGGGGGGAAAGCCAGCATGAGTAACAAGGAGTGTAATACCAAACCGAAGGGAGGAGATGGACACACGCAGCCCTGGGAACCCAAGGTGTGGGCAGAGAGGTGCTGTGTTTCTCGCTGTGGGGACAGTAAGTCTTCCTGGCGCTGAAGGCAGCTGCCTTTGGAAAGCAGAGGAACAGGAAGGGTACAAGGCGAGGATAGCCCTGGAGTTACTCCACACCGGCCCAGTCTTTAGCTGGCTTGTTCCCTGAAAGGAACAGGGACTTTCTGGGCATCCCCAAAACACTCAGGAACAGAGGAAAGGAGGTGAAGGGAAGAAATTGGCTCGTGCAGCCACATGGCTCTGCTGTGGAGAGGAGCATGTCGCGGGCCCAGAGAGGGGCTGAAGGGCACTCTGCCAGCACATTGGAGCAGGGACACGGAGCCTCCTGACAGCAGTACAAGGACCCGAGGTCGGAAACCCGGCATCCACCTCCTTGGATCAACCTCTTCCACTGTCGGCCACTCAACAGCCAGCCCTGAGGTTCGATGGGCAGCTCAGGCTCCCCACGACGGCCAAGGAGAGAAGCAAACCCTTCCCCCCAGCACAGACGCCTCACGCGTCCCGGCAAGCTGCGACGCCGCTGCAGCAGCTCCGGCCACGCTCGGCGCTCAGGACGGCGGTGGTGAGGGCAGCCGAACACGGGGCGCTGCTGCGGCCCGGCGGGACGCCTCAGTGCGCCAATGAACCCGTGAAGCTCCGCACCACCTTCGGCACCTCCACCCCAAAAACACCGGGGCTGCAGACCACAACGCTTCCTGCCACCGCTCCCAATATCCGCAGGCAACGGCGCGAGGCCGCTGGCTCCGAGAGCCATCGAATGTGGGGACGGGTGCCCACAAAGCGTGGTGGGAATGCGCCTACAGCAGCGAGAGCGAGGGGCAAAGAGCGGGCACCCTTTTGCATTAAACGGAAGGGCTGGAGTGTCGTATCGGTCCCAGGTGATTTTATTAGCCAGTTTTAGGTCCTGGGAGACAGCAGTATTCTGGTTTGGACTCCAGGAGGCGAAAACAGCAAGGGAGGAAAACGCTGCCAGCACTGAGCATACCACGATGCTCCAGCCGCAGGGCTGCTTCAGCAGCCTCCAAAGCCTCGCAGTATTTTCAGCTTCTGCAAAAGCCGTAAGACTCCAGCAGACCGCGAATTTAAATACTAAAACTTTTTTTTTTTTCCTGTAAACAGGAAAAAACAAAGTAAGGAAAAACAACAGAGCTTGATATTTGGTTTTGCACTGAAGCCAATCCCCATGCCAGGCTAAATCCCTTTGCTAAGATGAGATTTGTGTATTCACTGAATATTTTTTCGATTGAAATTCAAACCAGGCTGTGGAGAGAAGCAAAACCACCGCAGTGACTCCGAGTTTTCCATCTTCTGTTTTGTATAGGCTGGAAGTTATTAAACAGGATTTGGTGTTAATCTGAACACTGTGAGTGGCCCCAGAGCCATCCTACTGTGACTAAGTATTTATTAACTCCTAGTTAATATACGGTTTAAAGAGCAACTTACTTAGCTGAGTCAAAATGTTACCTTTAAGAGAAGAGGGAAAGGTTTAATTTCCCTTTTTATAAGAGCAGGACCTGGCAGATAAGCAGGGACATGGCTACAGAGGAAGAGGAGCCAGCCTTGCTCTTTTGAGAAGCTCCATCTCCACAAACACCGATGCCCATGGGTGTGATGAGCAGAGTCCGTTTAACCAAGCTCCGCTGCAGCCCGGCCAGCTCCTCTACGCTGCCTCTGCAGACAGGGAAGACGTTTGCACAAGACCCGTGCTGAGAGCGGAGCAAAACAAGGAGGACACGGCCACGACCACCACGAGCATTTGGAAGCAGTAGGGAGGCAAAGCCCAGTTAAGGCTGAGGCCACCAGTGGCCTGAGGAGGGCAAGCTAGTCCCAAGGTAATTTAGGTGACAAGGAGAAAGCTCCTAGCCAGCTGAAGGGAGATGTTCGCACCTTAAGGAAGAGCCTGCAGAAAAACTCAGCTGGATCTCGAGGAGATTGTGGGAGAGATGATACAGGACAGGGTCTGGGATCACGGAGATCAGACTCGGGGGGCCTCTTTCACCCACAAGGAGGGGCTGACAAAGGCTCAAACCTCTGCTGGGGCTGCCCACGGGCTGAGGGCAGCACAGACCCAGCCACCCCCCAAAGAGAGAGGGAAAAACAAACCCGAGACAACAGAGCTGGAGCAGGTCCAACGCTGCGCCTAGGGGCGCGTCCCCGGTAAACCAGGGGGATGCGAAAACTCCACCCCACCGAGCTGCCGGCATCGCCGTCTATCCCCGACGCAGGGGGAACGGGGCTTGCCAGCGCGTCAGAAATCGCACACGGATTTAAGGCTCTGTGTGGTTTCCACTGAGATTTATACAGCCTGTGTAAACACCGTTAACACCGTTCGTTAACGCCACCACTGAGCTGCTACTGAGGGTTGCTTCCAAGGTACAACCTCCTTACCTCCTGCTTTACCTGCTCCCTCAGAAATGCAAAGGGACAACGGAGCCCCGAGATGCGTCCGGCTGACCTGACCCCTTGTGAACAAGAAACACGCGACGACACATCCTGGGAAACGTTCCTGCTGCCCGGCACGCCGTTCGCCGGCCGTCACAGCATCCAGCAAGGGATCCTCCAGCTCACAGCACGCGCTGGCCATCCGCCACCCCCAAGAGAAGGGGGCTCCAACAAGGCAGGAGTCCAGGGGCCTACGGGGTGGGCAGGAAGCTCCCTGGAACTGTCAGTGAGAGCGATTAAGAAATTAAGAGAAATGAGGGCTGAAAAATTATGCCACCTTACTTGTTCTTGCTACGCACAGCAGGTAATCCCAAGCAAACCCCGCTCCTGCCTCCCTGACTCCTGACAGATGTTGAGATGAAGACGTTGAGAAAGCAGATACAGACACGGGTGCTCTCCAGGTTAGCCAGCCTTCTCTCACCATCAGATCAAACAAGGCACCAGGCTAAGAGCAGAGGGAGGTCCCCTCCCTGCCAGCAGCTCCTGAGTGGCTAAGAGGAAGCGATGGCACCGCAGCCACGGGGACGCCACCACGAGGCAGAGCCAGAGGCACGGGGCTGCTGGCAGCATCCCGCTGGCACGTGCAGCGCCTTGGTCAAGGCTTCTTCCTTCTCTTTCTCCACCGTGATCTGTTGTCCCAGTACCCAAGGGCTGCTCTCTATGACAGCAAACAAGAGCACTTGGGTTCTGTCACCCTCGGCTATGGGAGGAGGCCCCATCCCAGCAAACCTAAGCGTCACAGTCAAAGCAATTCCCACCCAGCCATGTGGGGCTCCGACCGCAGCAGAGGTCCTCCAGGTGGGCAGGTGTGGTCAGAAACCAGCTCCAAGCACCAGGGCAAGCAAAGCTGGCTCTGAGCTGCAGTCACGTCCCCAAGAGCTCTGAGAAGATGTTGAGCTCAGGCTTGGAGCAGGCTGGCCGAGCTGCCAGCAGGCAGGAGACAGGGCCCATGGTGGGAGAGGCAGGGTGTAGAGGACCCGTGGCGAGGGTCACTGTGCTCCAGAGCCCACGCGTTGGGTCACGAATGCCCGTTTCCCTGTCACTCTGCTCCACCAGAAGCTCCCCCACCAGCGCCAAGGCAAGCACAGCTGAGAGCCCAAGCGCCCCTTCTCCAGCGCTCACCCTCGGAATTGCTTGTGATGCAAGCGGGAAAATCAGTGCCCCTGGTGGGCTACGAAAGCTCCAAACACATCGCCTCAAGGGACTGTAATCCCAACACAGACTCGATGGCACCTCACGGCCCATGCGGTTTGTACCCGATGCCAGGGCACCGCCAACCTGTGCGTGCCTGGCAGTTATCGCCCGCTGCTCACGTTGCTGCCTCTCGCCCCTCCGATGGCCGAGCGTCGCTGTCAGATTTTTTGCCTTGCACTTTTTCACTATCTATATCTCTCATTTCTTCTTTGCTTCAGAAACACTTCCTCACAGGTCCATCCAGCTAGTCTATCTAAGAAAAGCCCTGGACATCACTGGGTTTGGATGTTTTTGCTCTGATGGGAACCCCAGACAACACGGAGGAGCAGGAGACCTCTCTTGGAAACAGGGCAAATGAATCAGTCCTTGCAGGAGAAACCTTTGAGATAAGAAACAGAGGGAAATATTTGTATGGGGATGTCCATCTCCTGCTGGGTGACCCTGCAGAACCAGTCCAACCCAGCAGACAGCCACGCAGGTGCCACGTCACCATCCAGCTCTTGGTTCATCTATAACCACATGGGTCTAAAAGGAGATTTAGGGCTTCAGGGTGGCAGAGAAGGGGCCCTGAGTTTGAAACCTCACAGCCATGGCTGGACTATCTGAGGAAGCAGCACAGTAATCAAAAATCAGGGGGGAAAAGGATGAATAATTAAAAGAGGGAAAAAAAGCTTAAAAAACTAAGCACAGCTTAGATAGCTTAGATGTCCAGGCAAAGAAACAACATCTTTCTCTCCTGGCCAAAACATCCTTTTACCTGACTGATGCTGCCAGTCTCTGATGATGCTGCCACTGGTGACAGGGAGGGACAGTTAATTGCACTGATGTCCCTTCATGGACCCGCTGCTCGATGCCCCGACGCCAGGCCGAGTTCGCTGCAGCTCGGCTCGTAATTCCGGCTGAGCCGCAGCCAGGAAGGCGCCCGGCCCGCCGCCCTCCAAGGAGCGCGCGGAGGCGTTCCCGGCGTGGAGCCTGTCCCGGTGCCCGGCTCCACAGAGTTCCTGTCTGCGGAGCACAACGGGGCTGCCGGAGCATCCCCAGCACTAAGCGGCCAGGGGGCTGCGCGGGAGCCCTGCGGAGCCGGGAGCACCATCCCGCTGGATGCTCAGGAGCTCGAGCTGCCGCGGGGAGCCCGTGGGCGCCGGTCCCGCCGAGCGGAGCCGGCTGCGCATGGGGTGATGAAAGGCTGAGAACGGACACAGCCCTCGCGTTTCCAAAGCCATGAAGAGGATTTTTGAAGACATAAGTAACAATAAAGAGGCAACTGGCCAACGAGTGCTCCCAGAGGAAATTAATTCCACATAGGCTTCGCTGTAATGCGCTTGTTTCACTGTTATTATAAAATATAAGCATTGTTCTGTCATCAAAATTAGATTCTCTTCTTCAGGTTGTAATTAAACCCTAATCTAATTTACTGGGAGATGACAGGGGCCTTCAAGCAGAGATTACTGCCCTGCTCGGCTCTTCCGTGCCCTCCTCCCTTCACCTGCTTCAGATGTGCCTTTGCACAACCAGAAACCTTCTGTATCCATCCCCAAAAACACCACCCATAAGAGCAGCCTCCCACTCTTGGTTGGCAGGACCCCATTTTGCCCAGACTGCCCCAACCCCTGCACAGACCCCAGCTCATCTCTACTTCCGAGTCTCTGCCCCGGGCCCGATCCCAAATCCCTCAATGAGGCTGTTTATCGATGGCCCGCGTTATTCCGAACGGTTGCGCTTCCGCACACGCTGCTTCGCTTTGCCAGGGCTCTCAGGGCATTGTGGAAAGAACTATTTGCTGCTGTAATTAACAGAGCTGCCCAGGGAAGGCTCCTGCGTGACGCGGGGAGGCCGCAGCAGCAAGAACCGCTGGGGAGGAGGTTACAGACACGCTCCAGCGCGGCAGCAACGCTGCTCCCCAGGGCTCAGAGCACCGCAGTCGCCACCGTCCCGTTGCTAAACGGCTGCTTTGTGAGTGCGACACGTGCGTTAACGCACGAAAACTCACATCGCCAAGGAGGGGGGTGCCTCGGGCCAGGACAGCCTGAGAAAGCAGCTTTCCAAGCCAGCTTCCCTTCCTAGGGGAACCCGTGTGGGGGCCACAACAACAACGAAAAGGCCCAAGAGACCCGGGGCAGCAGTGCATTGTTCGGCTGCTGGCAGTGCCTGCGTAGGCAGGTGACACGTGGTAACAACAAGGAGGACTGACAGGGAAGAGCTCGTGTTGTAGATCTGCTCACCCAGGCACCTAACCCTAAGCCAGTGCACAGCTCTGTGGCTCCAGAAATAAGAAAGCAGGATCAGGAACTGTATAGAAGTGCCAGGACGCTCCCCTGGTCCCTGCTTGGTTCCTATCCTGGTGGTAGAGGTCACCTATCCCCAGCACTGACTCTGAGCACAGCTGGTAGGTGCTACTTCCACACTTGGGAGATCCCAAGCAGGCTCTGCACACCAGGAAGGAGCAGGGCTCCAAGGAGAGGACAAAGCTGCACCTACCTCACTTGGCTTGCACGGCCGGCCATGAGGAAGGACCAGCTGTAGCGGACAAGGAGCGGGCTGCAGTTGGTCATCTCGATGTAACGGACATCTTCAGTGTCGTTTAGGAGGCAGCCGAAGTCCACGGCCGTGGTTGGGAAATGGAGGTTTGGGAAGAACACCTCTCCTCGAAGGGCAATGCGCTCCTCGTGGAAGTGCTCAATGAACCGTATTATGAGGGCTGCGTTTGCTACCCAGCTATCCAAGCCCACATGAAAAGCGGGGTTAAAACCAACGGAAAGATGAAGTTCCTCCCCTATTTCAAGCTTTATGGCCTGCAAAGAGAGAAAAGAGGATATTAATCACCAGTGCAATGAAATTCCAAGGGCTGATGGCAAATGTTCAAATGGAGACACCAACAGGGGCTTCTCGGTTCATCCCTCATCTTCCAGGAGACGATGTAGGAACCCAACACAAACTAGGACTGGACTGGTGAGCCAGTAGACCCGAGGCTCCCCTGCCCAGCCTGGCTCTGCTTCAGAGAGGACCACGAGGTGCCACCACGCTCGTTCCTCTCCAAATCCCCCCAGAAGGGCTGTCTGTGGCTGCTCACCCGACCATCCACCCCGATGGGTTGCTGGTGCTCATCGCACAAGGAAAAGGGCTGTTCCAAGGACAGGATAATGCTGACCGGCAAGGAAGAGATGTTCTTTAAATCAAGAGGCTCGTACTGAGGAGTTAGGACATCACTGGCTTCCTACAGAAACACAGGAGAGGACAAAAAGAAAATTGAAAGAGCACTTGTGGACTTCCTTCCTCTTCTGCTGCATTTCACATTTTTCAGCCCCAGAAGAGCTGACATCCCTGTTACTCCTTCAGGTTTCTGCTCTTCTAGAAAGCTTTAAGCATATGAGGCACTTCATGTTTAGAAACCACAGTACCCCTCAGGAGACAGGGAAAAGTCTCTGCCTCATGAACAGGTGAGGGAATAGGACCCCTAGATGGGGCAGCTGCTCAAAAAGGAAACCACATTGTTTGTCTCCAGTTTTGTCTCCTGGACTGAAGAGCAGAAGACATCCCCACTCCTATAGACCACCTTATTACAACTTTATAGGCTCGAGCTCTCACAGAAAGAGCACCGAGGTGAGTCCGGGAGTACAGAAAGCAGGTTTCAGCCCGTGGTGAACAGATGCATTAGCCTAAAGTTGTGTTTCCATGTTTGCACCCACATCCAGCTGCATGGAAGCCCAGCCAGCTTGGCTGCAAAGTGCCTCCTGCTGCCCTTGCTGTAGTGACAAGCTGTCTACAGACCCCAATGCTCCAGCCTAAGCTGCTGCTTCCTCCTCTTTGTGTGTTTCTCTGGGCTTCCTGGATGCTTTATATAAACCAGACAGGGCTTGGGAAAGCAGTTCTGAACACATTTATATCAAACAGCTGCAGTGTCATTGCACTCAATAAATCGGTGCGCGCGGCATCAAGCAGACTGCAGGCAGACATCAGGGATGGCTGGAAAGCATCTAATCAAATCCAACCTGCCTCCTCACAGGATTTTGTGCTACTTTGGAAGGCAAGCAGCTAAACAAGACCTGAAAACACAGAACCTAAACAATGAAATATTTTCTTTTTTTTTTTTTTCCCCCCCCAGCCACCTCACAGGAGAGGGAAAGATGATGCAGGAATCCAGATCTGGAGAGGAGGGCAGCTGCTCAGTGCCAGTGTTACCACTGCTGCAGCTGGAGGATGTCTCTGGCTCCTCCGAAAAGAGAGCTTGGGGGGAATGCAGACATCAGAAGGCAGACAAACAAGTGCAGACAGTTTTTCTTGTTAGCTCGAGGAGCTGACAAGATCCTCAGTTCCCTCAGCTTCCTTACAGGAGCGACGTTCACATTTCCCCGTGCCTTGGAAGCTGCTGGTAAACTTCCCTTCGTACTGCCTGCAGAAACCAGGGGCCGAGACCTCAGGGGTTGCAGGAACTGAAATAATGATTTAAGTACTAACGAGAAAACCTCCGTCCCACTCAAACTGATGGCAAAATCCCAACAGATATCAAAGGAGGTCACTTAAATCCCTTGTTTAAACGCACACAGGCTTTTCGAGGTGAGCAGGAGGCAGCCTGGAGACTCACCTTCTCCACCCGGAAGGTGATGTCCCTGGAGGAGATGTGCAGGACGGGGGCGATGAACTCGCACGTGACGTCCACCTGCATGATCCGCTTCTTGCCCGCCTTGCTGCCGATGACGGCGTGGCACAGCAGCCGCTCCTTCACCACCTGCGGGGACATGAGCCGCGTCACCCAGCGGCGCGGCAACGGCAGCGGGTGACACAGCGACTAGGGACGGGGCGACCTGGGGACGGACATCTTGTCACTGGATCCTGACAGCCTGTGAACAGTAGATGTTATAACCATGAAACTGCTGGTCACCTAAATCCCCCCCTTTATGATGGTGGGCACTTCTTTTTGGCGCTCAGATGTCCACACCACCACAGGCTTATATCCACAGAAGGCACTCGTGAGGCATGTGCCAGCTGCAATCATCATAATTACTGCCTCAGTGATCCCGGTTTTCATACATCCAGGAAACTGGAGGAAGCTTCTAGAAAAAAAAAAAAAAAAAAGAAAATAACAGAATTGCATTAAGGAGAAGAGGTGCTGAAAAGGCCCGGGGCGGGTGTATCGTCCCTCAGGGGCTGTGGGGGAAGGAGGTTTCCATTCTCCAGAGTTAGGGAGGGCAGAAGCTCCAGGGAGGAGCTTACAGCCACCCAGATCAGCTGTGGGCAAGGCAAGAAGCTGGGCTTCTGAGCAACCTGAGCAGTAAGTTCTGAATAGCCGAGGCAAATGGCAAGCCCACTGCCAGGGTCTCCGCGTAGCCACGCTGGGCTCACCATCCCCTTTCAGCTTCCCAGTGCACTACCACTTTATTGCCTTTCTGGTGCCTTTTCATTTTGGCAAAACCCTGGGATTCAGCAGCGCAGGGGAAGGCCCACAGCGAATGAGTTATCAAGTCTGCAGGAAGCTCCCCTTGAAGCAACTCCCCAAAGCACCTTCCAAAACACTGCTACGGGGAGAGGTGCAATGCAGAATCACTCCCCATTCACCCAACGGCTTCGGAGCAGGGCAGCCCAGCCTGGAGCTTCTCTGCAGACCTGGATTTCCCCGGGAAGGGCACTGGAAGGGAACCACGCTGAAAGCCTCTTGTGTAGCCCTCCCAGAAGGTGCCCGGCCTTCTCGCCAGGCCCGGCTGCCCTTGGGACGCCGGGGCTGCCCGAGAGCAGGGCGAGTCGTTATGGAAATATTGACACGAGTCGAGCTGTCAATTATAATGATCCCTGGGAACAGTCTCCTGGGCAGAGGACGCCGCTCTGTGATCATTACAGCTAATGCGCCGTGCTCGTTTTTCTCCTCCTGTGCTAGACAAGCCCTCAGCCTGTGTTTGTACAGACAGAAAAAATGAAGCTCCCAGATACTGCCTCCCCTCACAGGTGCATTGGATGCTTCCCCCAGATATATTACCATACATTTTTCTATTTACTCTTTGCTCCCCCCTCAGCTGTCAAAGCAGCTCTTCCATCTGCCCTTCCTTTCTGCCTTGGCATGCGACACTTCAGGACATGCCGCCTGCCCCGGCGCAGCCCCTTTTCTTCAGCCATATCCTGGGCTTTGCAAGTTGGGCTCGCGGTAGCTATAGTAACACGAAAAGCCTTAGCAACTCCGAGCGGCCAGCAAGGAAAGCAACCCGGGCTGCCATGGTAACTTGGGGCATTAAAACACTTGAAAGCAATTGCTCATTTTCTCAAGCAAATGTCAAGGGGCGACTGAAGTCCAAGCGGAAACGAGCCGATGGAAAAGGCCGTGTCCGGCACAGGAGCTCACCTTGGGAGTCCTGGAGGAGCCTTCCAGCATCATGTCCATCGTCTTGCCCGGGGCCAGCTCCATCCTGAGCGGCCGGAGCTTGAAGACGGGCGACGCGGGGCGGAGGCTCTGCGGTGGATTCCTGCCTTTGGCCTGGGGGAGAGTGGGGAGACGATCCCGCTGGCGGAACGGGGCGAAACCTTCTGTGGTCCAGTAGAGCTGGTGGGTGCGCCGGCCCCGGTTCGCTATCCTGAAGCGGTAATAGCAGGGCTCCTGACTGCCAGGGAAACAGAGAGGGGGGACATCACACAGCGCACGGGGTCTGTGGTGACGTGACCTTTCCTGTCCAAAGCTACAGCAAAAGCCAAACTCTGCTGCCCCTAAGGCTACTGACATCCACGGCTGGTTTCTTCACGTACTGCAAACACAAGTTTCATGAAGAACAACCTCTCCGGGCCCAGATCATCCCGGGAAGAGGGCACCCCGGCCTCTGAGCACCATTCCCTGCAGGTCTGGCTCCTTCAGCTGCTGAGCTCATCCCCATGGAGCCGCCTGCTGCCATGTCACCTCTCTGCTGACCAAAGGACAGGGCCAGAAGAGCCATCTGCGGCTCCAGTTTCGCCCGCGCCCTCTCGAGCTAGAGCAAGCCTTTAAATAAAGCTCCATGGCCTGAAGGGAAGAGAGGAGAGCTCTGCCAGCGAGGCCACGGGGAGGCATCCTCCGAGCTGCAACTCAGCTGGGAGGCACTGCCAGACCGAGGGGCTCGAGGCAGAGCCGGTCCCAGCTGCTCCATCCGTGTCCTGGGGGCTCCTCAAGAGCGGGGACCACCACGGGGTTCCCTGAGCGCCAGCTCCCCTCCCTTGGGCAGCTCCTCAGCCTGCCCAAGCCCTTGATCCCAGAGCCCGGCCCAGGGCTTCGGGAAGAGAGCGGCCCTGCGAGCGCAGCCGGAGCCGCTGCAGCCCTTGCACGAAGCAGGTGGCAGCAGGACTGGGTCTAGCTATTGAGGCGACACGGTGACATCAGGGGATAAATAACCCGAGCCAGATATGAAACAAGAAGAACATTCAATGAAAATTGATTCCTTTATATAAAGGAACACTAACTGCAGGCTAGTCAGGACCAATTATTTTGCCCTCTATAAATCTAAGCATGATCAGCAAAGCAACTGTTCCTGGAACAATTACTGTCTTTTTTTTTTTCCTTAAAGAAAAAAGGAAAAAAGAAAAGAAGTACCAAATATGCAGTTTATAAAATGTGCCTCTGCCATAAGCAGCCAACACAGAAGTGAGGGTCCAGAACAAACCAGTCTTTGAAAGAACCTGCTAAAAAGGCTTGATGTGCACGGGGTGAGCACGAGGCGTTTCATCTCGGGGACAGCTTTAGATCAAAATTTTGAGAAGCTCCGGGTAGAGGCCTCATTTCTAGCTCTTTAAAATTCCAACCCATCTGTCTGTGTGCAGCTCCTGAAGTGCATTGGACACACACACTCCTCTCTGCAGGGTCCCAGTGCAGGTGGGTGGCTTTCAGGTGCACATTTAAAGGCCAAAATCTACCCTAAACACGCCAGGTTGAATTCTGCTCGTCTAAGCAAAGACCCGAAGCTTAGGTAAGTGCTGTGAATTTTCCCTATAGTCAGGGAGAAGGAATAAGCACTTCCAGAAGGCGATTCCTCTTGGCTGGACGTGCCAGGTGAGCACTTTGGAAGGGCCTATTTTCCTTCCCTGTTTATCAAGAGGTCCCTGGGTTGGGACCCAGCAAAGTGAGGGATGACACTGGGCAAAAACCAACGTGGTTGCTGCTGTGGGACTCCTGAGCAGAGGCTGGAAAGCAAGCAGCAGCATCCACCTAATTGAGGAGTCACTAACAAGCTACTGACAGGTTTTCTGCTGGGGGGAAAAAGCAAGCAGCACTATTGCAAAGAGAAACGTGTTCATATTTTTAACGTTTCACAGCCAGGGGCTTCCCAGACGCGGTTTTGCTCCAAATCCTTATTTGACAAAAGTGGGGAAATAAACGTATTATAACGGAGGGCAAATTGGTGACAATTTTGCAACTGGTTTCCATTTTGATTGCTTTGGAGGGAGAGTGTTTAATGACTCTGAAACGGTCATAAAATGTTTCTGGAGGAATTGCTCTAGCTTGTGTTTTAGTAAAATGCAGGTAGGGCCTTGAGGACTGCAGGAAAAAGAGTCTGAAGGACTACAGACAATCTTCCTCTTGCTAAGCACACGGGAGAGGCAAAAGCCAAGGGTTGTCCTACCTGAAGTGAGGGCCCAGATCAAGCTCTGGAGCAAAGGGTTTGTCAGTGACGATCGTGGTTCCAGTGCCGACAGCCTGGACTGGGATCTCGTAGGTTCTGTTGTTCTCTATGACCACGTTCACTGTGTCCTTGAACTTCTCGGTATCGTCCAGGTTGGCGATGAGGCTCAGGGACACCTCGGTCCTGGGTGGGACCACCCCCTCCCTGGGTTCAATCCTCCAGCGTGAGCATTTGTCAGCCTGAAACAAGCCAAACACCGACTCAGGAAGGGAACCACAGAGGAATGACTGAAAGATATGAGGATACCAAGCAGAAAGGGTTAGTTTTGCTAAATCCAAGCTGTGGCAGTAGCGTCTAGAAACAGTAACTCTCTGAAATCTTCTGTAAGTTTTTTTCACCCCCCTTTCTTTAGGGGACTCACTTCATTAACCCCGTTTTGCCCAACCCGAGGGACGTTCATCCTCCGGAGAGGGTTATTCCCCCTCCGGCCCCTCATTTGCAGGAGACACCTGGGAACCCACTTTGTTTCTCCTGTCTCGGTGGCAAGGGCTGGGCGTGCAGAAGGCTTGGGGACAAGGGAGCTGGGACTGCTCGAGTCCCATCGCGGCGACCGCCTGGCTGCGGAAACCAGCTGATCAAAACCCCAACTCCAGAGGCGTCTGGCAGCGTTTCCCAACGGTGCCTGAAGGACCAAAGCACCCGGTTCCCGCTAATCATCAGCTGCTGCCTCCCAGTGCCCTAAGGCTTCGGAAAATTCCGCTATAAACATTTACGTCTTTATTATCGCAGTGTGGATAGTAAAGCAATTGCAACTGTGCAAAAATAATCACAGTAAGGGAATAACATGGTGTGGAAAACATGGAAGAGAGATGACCACAAACCACAGCCGAGGGCGGCACTGCAGGGACTGGCAATGCTGGGCGGCTTTGCTGGTGGCACGGAGCCCATCAGGATGCCGGCCAACCTCGGGCACGAGAGCCTCAGGAAGCAACGCAGCCCTTCCCAGTTGGGGAACACCTTTCAGCTGACCCCTCAGCTGAGTCCCAACCTCAGACTGGCCACAGAAGCAACAGCCCACGGCGCGTTTAAGGTCCTGGCCCAGCACGTAGGCTCCCAGCTGCGATGACCCCTTCGCCAGGGCTGACTGAGCAGAACAAGCCCAAGGCATCAAATTATTCCAGGTATATTGCACTGGCAAGATTAATAAACTCCGTCAGTCCCATGGAGTTTGCTCTTCAGAGCTGTAGGGAGAGAATCTCTTCAAAAAAAGCACAAAAAGCTCTCTAGGCACCAGCTACCTGCCCTTTCTTGCTCTCACACCTCTCACATTCATCATTAGCTGCAATGAATTCTCCATTCTTCTTGCTTGGGATGTCACAGGGCAATACTCTGACGCTGCCCTTGAGCTCTGGCTACCTTTCATTCCCTTTTCTGCGCCCCAGACCCAGGGCCTTGGGCAGGGCGACGCAGCAGCGCTTGAAACAGCGATCGAGCGCCCAGGGCGAGATCTGCACGTGGCAGAGGGAGCAGGGTCCGCGCGACCTGCTGGCCCGGAGACACCGCTGCGGACTTCCGGGAACGCCACCAACCACCCAACACGCTCTCGTCCCAAAGGCCACGACCAAGCAGCGATGCAGGTGGAGGGCGGCAGCCTGAGCTCGCCACACGTCACCTCCCTGGCCTTCCTCCGCTGTCCCCGCTCTCCCGGTGCGGCTGAGCATCGGTCTCGAGGGACGCGCTGGGCTGCCAGCGGCCGCGGGCTCTCCGGAGAGCACGTTCGTAGCAAGCCAGGGGGTGTGAGATTTTCACTGACATTAGCCTACGACTTTCCTCTGATTCATGCTGACATAGGGTAGCTAGCTTGAAAAGGAGCCCTCATGGCTCTGCTCCGGAGGTGACGCTGCAAGTCTGCTATCTGACAAAGCTCATTTATCAACGCCTGGCAACGAGCCAGGCAGCAAATTGGACCCAAGAAACTATCGCCGAGGAGAAATGATAGGCTGTCCAGACGGAGCCAGGGTTTGAATTCCCCAGTGTCATCCACTGCAGACCCCCTGGGCCCTGGCAGACCAACAGCTGATGCCTGAGGAGCAAGATTCACATCCTGCCCTCATCCCTTGGCTCAGCAGCTGGTGTGGGTCCAAGGGGCAGCCCGACTACCCGACTACCTGGGGACACAGTGGTTTTCACTGCTGGACGCCTTATATCCCTCCAGGTGAGTCTTCAGCTGCTCCCCAATACAGTGGGCCAAGTTGTCACATATTCTCCTCTTGCATAGGGTCAAGGCTAAGTGTGTGCAGAAAGGGGCTAGTTGCCTGCACACGACTGCATGTGGGGCAATGGCACAAGGAAAGCGCTCGGACATCCACCACGCAAGGCGGCTTGCTCCGTACCGGGACCGCACCAAGAACCTGTATCCTGCTGCGACACCAGGAGCTTTGCCACAACTTTGATCCAGTAGCTGAAGAGAGGATGAAAACGGGCACGGAGGCAACTGGCCTATTAAAAAAATCACCATTTAGGAGTCTAAGACCTGACTTCTGATAACACCCCTGCTTCTTGCTTATCCCCAAACACTCCATGAAACAACACAACAGCTGTATGCACGGAATAGACAACGATGGTGGATATTTTGTCCCCGTAGGATCTTGCTTTACTGGCCGCCAGAGCCAGTGAGCACTAGCCAACGGCTGGGATAGATCATTTAATCAAGAAACTTGACATAGAGATCATTAGCTTCTCCCAGGACAGACTTCCCTCACGAATACAAGCTGCCAAGATCTGCTTATAGCGACCACAAGCATGGATCTGAGATACACGGCAGCCCTTAAGGAGCATCCGGGGAGCCTCCGCACTCACTTCTCCTAAAGCTGCTTCACGCTGGTTAATTAAAAGCATCTGGATGTTCTAGCCTTGCACAAGTGAAAGAGGAAGCAGGACTCAAGAGTCAGAACGCAGCGTGTTTCTGACCAAGCTGCTCGCCAGGGATGAGCGCTCGCACCGCCTCGAGCTGACCCATGATTTGCCACCATATAAAGCCCTAGACTTCTAAGCGGGAATATCATCTTTCTAAAACTGGAGACATCTAGTGCCAACAAAGCGAATGGCTTGCTCTGTTCGGAAATCAAACTCAGGAGCTGGTCTCCAAAGCTTCACAGATGCCACAATAATCGGCCGGTGGCCTGAGGCTCTCTGTTCTGGGAGCACCCGCACCCGGGCCAGGAGCAACCCCACAGAACTGGTGCTGCTGATTGCAATGGGTCCCCTCAAGCTGCCGAGGGACAAGCGGGGGAAGGGAGCGGCAGGGCTGCCCGCCCCACGAAAACCAACTGAACACCCCTTCCCACCCAGCACTGCAGATCTCCGACCGCAAACGCCTGAAGGGCATGGCTCTGCCCGGGCTGCAGCAAGAACAAACTCCAATGAGGCAGCTAATTATTGAGACGCCTGGAAAAAAAGAAGCAATTTACAATAAATTTACCAAGAACTCAATCCAAGTCTGCCCTGAGCTCAGCACGAGCAGTCAGAGAGCCGAGAAGGACGCGGATGCTCCTCAAAGCCTCCTTCCCTGCAGCCTGCACGGGTGGCTCTGGCGACAGCCGGGACCCGCAGCAGAACCCCTAGGGCAGCACCCATTTATCTGCACTGGTTTTACATTGATCCCTGTGCTTCGCCGTCTATCCATATGGCTATTGCTTTAGCAGAGGGAATTGTGGGGAAAAACCTTGCAATAAGCAGCAGCAAATTAGCAAATGAAACAACTGCTCCACTAATGAGGAGAGATGCAAGGACGTGCCTAGGAACTGCATGTTCTCTCCTTGCTCGCTCCGAATTCAACAAGAAACCTTCATATGCTGCTCTGAAAAAAAACAGCATTTTTACTCCAGTGAACTTCAAGTAAAAAGCTAACTAACTGTGGCCTTTTTCACCAAATGGGCAAAACTTGGCCTTTTCTGCAATATCAACTCCAGCTGAGTCTCCCGGCAGTTCATCCCAGGGGGATGGGAGAGGTCTCCAGGTTATCGGCGCTCTCTCCAGAAGGATGGAGGTGGCTTCCAGCCCAACCTGCTCAGCATTGCCCTGAAGATCAGGTTGAAGATCAGCTCAGAAGGAGACAGGACCCTCAGAATCAGGGAGCGAAGCGCCGTCGGTAGGAGAGGAAATCCCAGGCAGGGTTATCTCTCTCCTCCCCAGTTACCGGGCACCACAAGGGCAGCGTTTGCCACCCCACGGGGGCTCATAACAGCCCCAGCGTGGTGCTTGTGCTGGGTAAGGAGCCACGCGCCGGCCCGTCCTCCCTGACCACACATTTGTGTTGCTGGGTGCATCAGGCACCGCTGGTGACACCAAGAGGTGTCACCATTAACGAGCAGCTGAAAGGGAAGACAAGAGACGCAGGAAATGGTCCTGGGGGCTCTTTGCTAACACAGCCCGGCCTGCCCGCTGCGAGAGCCACCGCTTCTTCCCTTCGCCGATACCTCTGCTTCCCACCTGGCAATACAGCAAAAATCCCCAGTGTTTGAGGAAGGGGGGAAGGACGGTGACGGTGGCAAGAGGAGGAGTAACAGCCACCTCCTTTCAGCAGGTCACCTCCTTCCCCCTGCTATGCTGCAAGGGCTCCTGCATGTTGACC